TTCGGAGGATGCGAATTAGTGTACAACATGCATTACTTGTCTTGTCTCACTGACGACGTATGCCTTCGTGGGTCTTTAGACCACCACTATGCATTCCCATTTTAGTCATATATGGGTCCGTTGAGAATAATAGTTCTATCGACCTACATGCCTGTCTCGCGGGTGTTTCGAAGGGTAGGTGAACGGGTAATTGATTCAACTGCCTTAGTGAACAGTGCTTTGGATGACACCCAATACACAATGGTACGACGTATTTCCGCAAGGAAAAGAATGGCAAGCCATTTGCAATTTTGTATCTTTCACTAGTACACTACAGGCTTATCATTTGATTTGAGCATTGGGTTTCCTGATAATGCAGCGCTAGTGGATGGAAAACCTGCAACAGTCATTTGATCAGGGCCTGAGCATCCAAGGATTCAACGATTTCACACCGTCAGTTGTTCTTTGAAATTTGTGTCAAATCAACAGCTCTTTATATCTTTTCTTAATAATAATAATACTAATGGTATATATCACGAAGCCCGTGAGGCATGCAGTGCGCATAATCAAATGTACAACAATGTGAAAAAATGATGGTCCGAACAAAGATTAAATGTACGGAAAGGGTAGGAACGTAATTTTCAAACGGGTACAAAGAACATTGTAACCGTGCATCGCCGTGAAAAAGAAACACAAGGCGGACAAGGCCATGTAATGCAGTACTGACGGTGATCTGATATGGAGACCACATCAATGTAAACGATTGTCATATGAAGAACATTAAAAAAGACAGAACTGGAGGTGAAAATATCCACTCGGGAGAAAATGCGCGGAAATGAGTTCGGAGAATAAGAGGGTAGTAAACGAGAAAGCTTTGGAATGTCAGAGGACGAGCTGCGATCGAACCAAGGAAGTGCAACGGAATACAGTAGGACGACAAATGGATCATAAATAAACTGTTTCAAGGATCGATACAGATGGACTAACTTCTTGAGCAAGGAGTAAAGTGTTTGTAAGGTGTAAGGTGTTTGTTTTACGTCAGCGATTGAGAAGATTAAACGAAATGTTAACATCTCGCGACATATGTCTTCTTTCGGTCTTGATACGAAGGAGTAAAGGGTTTCGGGGCTTCAACGTTTACGAATTGACTGGTTTATATTATTTATGTTGTTTAGACGTTAGTCGCTTTGATGTGGGTCTGACTACACGTCAGACACCCAACCTTGAAACACCATGTAGGTGTGGCAGGGGGTGTGATTCTCAACCTGGTCCGGAAAGCGGACGCATGTAGTTTAAACGGTGGATACAATCGCGCCCAACAACCATTGCCGGAGCTAGATTGTCCATTGTGGGTGTAGACCCCAAGCCTTCGGCAGGTTCAAGCCAATCGAATCTGGAACAAAAAGACGAAACGTGGCAGTCTGGGGAAATACCCAGCTGATAAGGGTCTGGGGGGGGAGAAACAGCATGTTGCGAACGAATATACAGAGAGGTTTAATGCCCAAAAGTGTACGAATATATATATCCATATATAAATAAATACATATATTTATATATATGCAGAGGGAAAATGAATTGCGGTGTATCAGTGGGATTTACATGACAGGACGAACATCTGGAAGGTAATGCGGGTGCATACACAAACGGTGCACTAAGGATTTCCATTTGGGAGTATTCAGTCACAATACGTATGCAAGTATGTACCGGAAATAATTCTGTTGCACCAATCCTGCTTTAAAGCTGAATCCGTGTACTGATACGAATTGGGTTTGGAAAGTGAAAACTGCTGCCTGGTTAGCATGTGCCACAGAGTTGAGCCAAGTGAAACAGGAGAAAACCATATCAGAAACATTTTGATGTGAACGGCTAACGACGGAGGAAAACATCTTTGAACAAGAAGCTGCCTGCAAATGCGTGGCCATGAAATACAAATGGATTCGTGTTTTATCCACTCCTGCATAACTGAACAAAACGAAGGTGCGTCATTGGTATGTCAGGACCATAAGGTACTTTTAACAGGGAATAAATTGGAAATCAATGGCAAATGTATGACAATCTTTGAAAATATGTACATCTGTACGTGAACTTCCTGTTATTATTTACAACCCCTATTTAGCATGCCATGTTTTTCATAACATTACTAACATTACCATGTTTTCTTTTAGATGTATTCCGTTGTTGACTTTTGGGGAGATTTGGTAGCCACTGTCCATGAAAAGTGGTTCGAACCGAAGATGAGCTACTTTTTCCAGAACCTGGTTTTGTGACTACCAATGTTTTGCAAAAACTCTTAAAAGAAGGGATCTATCTCCCCTCATGCACAAAGTAAACGTTCTTTGAACCTGTTGCAAATTTAAGTAACACTGCGACCATTTTGCAGTAAGTATTTCTTCAAATAAGTGTATTTTTGTGGAGAATACCAGGCACATTGTGGTAGTGCACTGAAAATAGGCCACCCACACATCCGTGAGTTAAATTGGTTACATTAATTTAAATCTGCACTTCAGTTCACACCCGATACCGACGGCTTCTAGGTTGGCTAATGGAACTAGCCTCGGGGGGGATACCCACAAACCGCAGTGGTGGAAGCCGGCCATCAAACGCGTCATACAAAAAAGTAATAGTATGTGGAATGCATTTGTTCTCTTGGGAGGACATGTACAATGGCTTCAATATAATAAGGCGAGAAACTATTCAAAGAAGCTAGTAAAACAGGCAAAAATGACCTTCGAGGTTAAAATTGCCTAGAGAGCGCGCCAGGAACCCAAGAGGTACTATGGCTATGTGTAATCGAAGACTGCACTAAGACAATCGGTAGGCACTCTGGAGAACCCCGGAGGTAGGCTGTCTGCCTGAGATTACGAAAAATGTGAGACACTCAGGAGGTATTTCGAAACCGTCTATCAAATAGACGACGGGCGCGCGGTCTCACGAGAGTTTTAGACACCCCTCCAATGGGTGATGTGGAAGTCTCAGCAAGTAGTGTTCTCGATGTCGTGGAGCGCTTGAATGTAAACAAGTCCACTGGCAGCGACAGGCTACATGCGGCCAACATCAAACCACTAGCCCCTTTGCTAGCCCCTGCGATAACCACACTCCACCAGGAGTCTCTAAGAGCTAGGACAGTACCTAGTGATTGGGCAACTGCCACAGTGGTGGCCATCCACAAGAGTGGAGGTAGGAAGCCACCTGGTAACTACAGACCCGTAAGTTTGACCAGTGTGCTGTGTAAGGACTTAGAAACCACTGTTAGGAATGCTCTCTGTGAGCACGTCACTCGACATAGGTTGATTAGCCCTGCCCAGCACGGCTTTCTCAAAAAGAGGTCGTGTTTGAGCAACCTTTGTTTCTTAGACGAAGTTACATTTGTTAAATAGAGGACATGAAGTCGAATTGTGCTACCTTAACTTCAGGAAAGGATTTGACTCGGTTGATCTCCGGCTTCTGCTAGTAAAACTCAGTGGTTTTGGTCTTCCAACAGCTCTAGCTGAATGGATAGAAGCTTTCCTCACCAACCGGACTTATAGAATTCGGGTGAGAGAAGCTCTTTCAAACGTTGACAACATATTCAGTGGAGTGAGCAGGGCTCAGTGCTGCTATCTGCTGTTTATACATGACTTGGTCCAGGAGCTAGCGGTTCCTGGCTTTATCTTTGCCGACGACGTCAAACTGATGAACTCAGGACCTGTAGATTAACTGGAGGGTGATCTGGGCAAGTGGAAATGTTTGAGTGCTTGCTCTGATAATTGGTTTTTGAATATAAAAGTGTACTCTTTCGAAATATCCCTTCGCTTTATTTACCACTATTGGTGTTTCTGACACATCTGGTATCATGTCTCTGGTCGCGGAACCCCAGTTTAGCATTTCCGCTCTATTGGTATCGGTGCTTCTTGGACTGAAATGTCCTGCGTACAAGCATTGTGACCTAATATCTAGTAAGCAACATATTCCTCGAATCATTCTCACTCAATTCCCTCGGCCCCTCTCCGTGGCATATGCTAACTAGATAGCTGTGTCCACTTTTGGAACCAATTTTTAAGAGTACACGGATTCAGTTTCAAAGCTGGGTCTGTGGAATTCAAAACTCTGGTGCGCACTCTCAGAAGGTTTTCATTGTCTTACCGTGCTGAAACTCCCGGTTTTGGTCTGACGTCTATATTCACTCCGGTACCCTATCATTTTAGTCTAACGTGCTAGATGTGCACTTATTTTTAGTATTGTTCCGTCGCATGCTCCGTTTCCCCCTCTCCCATCTCTCTTCAGCTGGGAACTACCCCATACCGTTGCATATCGCCCTTTTGTTCCAGATTCGATTGTCTTGGGTCTGCCATAGGCTTGGGGTCCTCACCCACAATGGACAATTTGGCTCCGCAATGGTTGTTGGGCACGGCTGTTTCCACCGTTTTGACTACATGCGACCGCGTTCCGGACCAGTTTGAAGATCACACCCCCTGCCTCACCTACATGATGTTTTAAGGTTAGGCGTCTAGCGTGTAGTCAGTCCCACATCAAAGCGACCAACGCCTAATTAATCTAAATAATCCAGATCACTCCTCGATCGATTGAAGCCCCGAACCCAATGAACTTGTCTCCAGAAGCCAGTTGTATTGCAGCATAGAGCGAAACATGTGCCTTTACCGACGTATTATTCTGGCTGTATTCCTTCCTTTCTGTTCCTTTCCTCATGCCGCCACCATCAGGCAGCATTCCACAGACCGCCTCTCCGTATTTCCCCTCACCGTTGCCGTACGTCCAATTCTTTTCGAGACCAGTTTTACCATTGCTTTCAGTTCTAGTGACGTACATTTTCAATGCATCCTCTATCTTCCATAAATTCGATGGTGACCTTGTCCGGTTTTTGTTCCTTTCGTTCTTACCCCCTCCATTTTTATTGTCCACTTATGTACTTACACTTTTAGTGTACATATACTCGCTCTGATCATTTGATCATGCCTTGGGCATGTCTCACGGGCTTCGTAAAATAACACCTATTTTTATTACTACTATCATAGAGCTTGCAATATGTGGTGAAATTTTGAAACAAACTGAGTGAATCCTCGAGTCGAGGAATGAGATTCGACCACGGAAAACCACATGGAAGGATTTTTATGCTAAGAGGGCAGACAAGTGAAATTGACCACGTTTAGAACTATCGGGTGTTGCTTTATAAGGGTTATTCTTTATTCGGTCATGATTTGGAATACAGCTGAATAAACACAGTCAAAAATAGAACCGTATCAGTAATTTCGTGAAAATGAACACTATTTTTATTTCAGTTAAGGTTCAGGAACCCCGATTGAACATTTCCTCTCAAATGGTGTCGATGCTACTTGGATTAAAATGTCCATCGTATAAGATTGTTTCTTCACTTGAACTATCGGCCTTTCCCACCCGATCCTCTTCTGTCTGGTACCTTGTCTGCTGAATTTCTTTAAACTTCAGCCAGGTTCCCTCCAGCTCTTCTATTTTTACACTTGCGTCCTCTACATCTTGTCCTTGACGGATCTGTTTTGACGCATCAGAGCCAAATCAGAAGCACTATTTTTATTTCAGTTAGGTTTAACGAACCTCGTTTGATTTTCAAATAGCCGCGCACAAAATAACACGCAACCAATAAAATAATAGACGTAAGGTAGCGCAATTCACAGATGTTTAGGTAGAAATATATTCATCGTTAATGTTTGGGAAATGTCTCACATTACCAATAAGGTTACTTATATTAGTTTATGTCTTATTTCAAATTTGCAAAGCTAGGTCAGGTCAGGTCAGGT